TTCGTATAAATAGTAGTTTTTTAGGAATGAAGTATGGGTTCCGGAAAATTTCAATTAGTGATCTGCGAAAATTTGCGAATTAAATTATTTAATAAAACTAGAGTGATGGTGAGTGGCGATAACCACCACTATTCTTTTGATAAACACTTACCCGCTTCTTTCGAGTATGTGATTCTCTTTTCTTCTTTTTTGATTTGCCTTTTGATCTTTTGGCAATTTTCAAAAAAAGAAAGAAAAAGAAATTTTATTTGATCAACAAACGCGTCATTAATTATTTATTATTATTGGCACTTGGCGTTGCGAAGGTTTTTTTTTTGTTGAAAGAACAATTTATTTTTTGACAGAGTCCAAAGATGACAAAACGTGAGTCTCCTAAAGAAGACGTGTTAATAACTAACCAGATGTACTTTTTTTTTATTTGTATTGATATATATAAATAAATTCTGGTTATTTTTGAATAAATTTTCTTTTGGATCGTGTGCAACACGTGATGATTCACATGTTTAAATAGTTTATTTAAAATTAATATAAAATAAAATATATAATATAAAGTGCAATTAATGAATGCAATAAAATCATCACTGATCCTTTATTATAAGTAAATAATAAATGATCTTATTAGTAATAATTAATGGATAGTAATTTCCCAATTAATTAGTAATGAAATTTTTATTCACCTTATCAAAATCATCATTTAGAGAAAAGAGTTGATATCAAGATCATTTAATGAATTGTCATTACTTGTATAGCTCTTTAAGCTTTTTGATTTAGCAATTTCATCATCTAATATCCTGCTTGTATGATATGCATATGGATGTGATTTGTGTGCTAGTTGCAAATCACTACTACTAGTAGTAGTATTATCATTACTATTATTATTACTATTCTTATTAAGGATTTTTTCAGAAAAATCACAAAGCTCTCTAATAGTTGGTCTTTTTGATGGATCCACATCCCAACATTTCTGCATAATTTGTGCATAATCAGCAGGCATTCCTGGTAATATTGGTGGTTGTAAACCTTCACATATATCAAAAATTAAACGATGATTGTGAGCTCTATCATCAAATGGTGGGCAACCTGAAAATATTTCCCACATTAACATTCCAAAGCTATAAATATCTGTTTCTTTTGTGTTCTTTGCATTAATTTTGCCTCTAAGTAGCTCAGGTGCAATGTATGATATTATTCCATAGGTTTTATTTAATGATTTTTCATCAACTGGTCCACATAACCCCAAATCTGTAATATAACAAGCACCTCCTTGCAATAATATATTACCACTATGTAAATCACAATGGATTAAATCTTTTACATGTATCTGATATAATGCCACACACAAATAATGAAAAATTGTAATTCTGTCTTTTAATGCTAAATTAAAATGATTTTTTTGTAAATAATCCCTTAAATTTCCTTCTGGATGATAATTTAAAACAATTGCATAATTTCCATTATCTGGGAATTTAGTTATACCATAGCAAGAAACAATCAAGCTTGATTTAATTTTACAGTAATTCATTGCCTGAAAATAAATATAAGTATTAGTATTATATAATACAGTATTATATATTTTGTTTTAAATGACAACTACTAACCTCATCAAAAAAACCTTTTCCTGGATTACTTGAATTATTTAAATTTTTTAATACTACTTCTTGCTCTCCCAAATAACTAAATTCCTTTTTATTTTCATCATAATCAATTATTCCTCCTTTTATCCATATAGCAATATAAATTGAACTAAATCCACCTTCAGTTAATTTTCTAATATCATAAAATTGCTCAAAAGGTATCCATTCTAAAATAAAGTTTGGTAGAGCTGATTTCATTTGACATTGTTGAATAAAGTCATCAATTACATTATTTCCAGATGTCCAAGTTGTGAAAAGGCTCTGTAATTGTAAACTAATGCAACCTTCACAGAATCTGTCAGAGTATCTTGTCCATTTACACTTGTCACATTCTTTCAGTTTGCCTTTTTTATGAATTGCATTTTCTAATTCAAATTCATAAATAAACTTTTCTTTACAAAACTTTTTTTCATTTTCAGAAAGCTCCTTATTTTTTTTGACTAATGAAAAAAAATAATCTTTTTCATGTTCTTCATCAGAATTAACCATTGCATTATTATACATTTCTAAATTAATTTTATATACAAATTCCTTCCTTTCTGGTGATAATGATAATAATAACTTGTCATATGACATTATAAAATAAATTTTTTATAGAACTTAACTTGAAAAAAAATTTTTTTTTTTGAGAATAACAGTGTGTAACAAACAATTATTGAATAAATTTTAAGGTAATATGCGCGCCCTTTTCTTTAATATAAATCTTAAAATTGAAAAATAAAAATTGTATTATTAGAGAACAACTCCAACATCAAAAGAAAATCCTTTGTCGTCAAATTCAGTCGCGTTTACTTTGTCGAAAATTATTTCGTCGACAATCATTTCGTCCGACACCCATTTCGTCGAAAGTTTGTTTCATCGAATGTTCATTTCGTCGAATGTTCATTTCGTCGAATGTTCATTTCGTCGAATGTTTGTTTCGTCGAATGTTTGTTTCGTCGAATGTTTGTTTCGTCGAATGTTCATTTCGTCGAAAATTATTCATCCTCGAGCCAGAGACCGAAAGAGTTAGATGTGAGAAATTAGTTAAGAAATTAGGTGGGAAAAACAGAGTGTGTGGGAAGTGTGAGGAGAAATTTGTTTAATGAAGTTTGTTTTTTGTGACAAAATGAACTTTCGACGAAATGAACTTTCGATGAAACAAACTTTCGACGAAATGGGTGTCGACGAAATGAATCAGACCCCTTCACAAAAATCTACCAGGGTATTTTATCAATTTACAATCTTTTTGTTTGCCCAATTTACCTCTTGCACTTTTTAATCCAAACTCATAAATAAACCTTTCTTTACAATATCCTTTTTCGTTTTCAAAAAGCTCCTCGTTTTTTTTAATTAATGAAAAAATTCATTTTTCTACTTTATTATAAATTTTGTATACAAATCCCCTTTTTTCTAATGATAATAATTCATCAAATGACATTTTTAACTTCAATAATGATCGACCAATTCAATTGATTTTGATTTTTATCAATCGTGTATAATACAGTTAGGGTTATTACCAAATATGGAATTTTTAAATACTGTACACGTGTATGATTAGAGACCCCAGGTTTATGCGTTTGCATAATTTGGTGAAATTTATTTAATAATTATAATTTATTTAATATGATTTAATATATCACTAGTAGCGAGTAAATGATACATTCATTTTATAGAATATGCTATCTCTAACCATAGGTGTACTTTATTACATTGTAATTATAGCAAGAGTTTTCCCTAATGTTTTTTCTAAATTATTTATTACCAATTACAAATAAAAAATATTGCTAAAAATCTATTTATTTTATTGTCTTGAAAGAAATATTAAAAAGTTTAATAATATAAAATTATCCGATCAACTAATCATAGATAAAACCCGCTATGTTGTTTGGTATTTTTCTTATAAATATGGAAACGATATATATACAAATGCTAAATTTTTGGGTCAAAATCTCTTT